TGTAATATCACGATTCTTGCATAAGACGACCTAACGAATTGGTCAAAGGTCATACATTTGTAATAAAAATTGTGCATAGTTATATTATAAAGTATCATACTTTTTGTTTATGTTAGTTTATAGATTATGTCATTTTAATTTGAAATTATTCATATTTATTGAAAAGTTTGTTTAGTTAGAACCGCCTAAAAGTAGTTTCATTGTTGAAGTGTGTTTATGCTCGTGCTACGTGCTGATCATCCAGGTGCTAATGGGTGTTTGGGAAAAAATTAACTGCTCAATAATGGAGTTTGGATTTACGATTTATTTATTTATTTAAAAATAAAAAAAATTAAGTGCACAAAAACTAAAAAATTTAAAAATATGTGGACAAAAATCAAAACCACGTATTTTAAGAGTACATTTTTAAAACGTATTCCAATAATACGTTTTAGAATAAAACGTATTCACATAATACGTTTTAAAAAAAATTAATTAATAAAACGTATTTTTTTATACGTTTTTATAAATAATTAAGAACTAAACAAATAATTAAAAACTAAAACATATTATTATAATACGTTTTATTAAGAAATAAAACGTAATACGTTTTATATTTCAAAATTAATGAATAAAAAAATTAATATATAGTATGTGTTTTGTGTTTTGGGCTCGTTTGGGCTCGTCTGAACTCGGAATCGAGTTCCGTTTTTTTCTATACGTAGCTAACGAACCCCTCTATTCAATGATGCATACATGACCAAATTATTCTCGAAATCATATTCTCCCAAAGCTCTTGACCTACACATTAAACGTATTTCGCGCGACTTTGCTTTTTGAGCCCGTTCGGATTCGTCCAAGCTCGAAATTGATTTCCGCTTCTTCCTATACGTCGCCAATGAACCCATCTACACAACTATGATTGTCCGGTTAATTTTCAGGCTAAATCTATTCCTCACGGGCTAAATAATTAACAAATCACCCATTATATAAATAGATGGTCCATGGAAGATTTGTTAACTATTTAGCCCCGTGAGGAATAGTTTTAATCCGAAAATAGACCGGAAAATCATGGTTGTGTAGGCGGGTTCGTTGGCGACATATAGAAAGAAACAGAACTCAACTACGAGCTTGGACGAGTCCGAACGGGCCCAAAAACATAGTCGCGCGAAATACGGTTAATGTGTAAGTCAAGAGATTTGAGAGAATATGATTTAAAGAATAATTTGGTCATGTATGCATCATTGAATAGAGGGGTTCGTTAATTACGTATAGGAAAAAACGGAACTCAATTCCGAGCTTAGACGAGTCCGAACGGGCGTTGTTGTCGTTCGCGGTCACGGCGTCTTCTACCTCCACCAGTGTTGGCAGGGGGTTGATGCCTCGCCCTCTGTGACAGTGTATTCTGGGATGGGACGTAGTCCTCCTCGGATAGAACTTGATTGAACGACGCTCCTTGAGAGAACTATAGACAATGTTGTAGAACTGTTGGTCAAATAACTATAGGCAATGTTGTAGGACTGTTGGAGTGCGGCCGGCGCCCGTGGAGGGAGTGTAGAAAATATGTCTTGAATATTCACTAACGAGTTATAAACCCCCTCCAGGGCTTGAGTCTGAAAAGAAATTTCAAAGTAATTAGTTAGAAACACACAAAAAAAAAGAAATAATAAAAAAAAAACCACAAATTATGAACACTTACATCGCACTTCTCCCGCTCGGAACTATCTGATAGTCGCCGTCCTGTTGGACCACCGTGTACTTGGCAGGGTCACTGATAAGTCTTATAGTCCTAGTGTAAAGCCAATCAATGTAACCCTGCTCAGCCTGTAGAAAGTGATTCACAGGGGCATCTTGGAGGACATTTTGTTTTCTTTCATCGACTCAGCCTTGGTAAGCTGTGAATGAAAGGTGGCCCGATCACCAAATGTCATCCCAGTAATTCCACGGCCTCTGTGGTGTGTCTCTCATTCTTGCTTACCACTAATCCTCGGATTTTGGGGGATGGATTGCTGACACCCAAACTAACGGAGAACCTTATCAGACAAGTCGACTTCACGTATGTTCCAACAGAAGAACCACCCCCTATACATCCAAATATGTTGATCTTCTGTGCACTCATCCGAGAGAGTACATATAGTTCTCTGATTGTTGGAGGCCAAGAGGTCACACAAGGGGTGTCGTTCAGTCAAGTTCTATCCGAGGAGGACTACGTCCCATCCTAGAGTACACAATCACATAGCGCGAGGCATCAACCCGTTGTCAACATTGGTGTAGGTAGAAGACGACGTGACCGCGAACGGCAACAACGCCCGTTCGGACTCGTCTGAGCTCGGAATTGAGTTCCACTTTTTTCTATACGTAGCTAACGAACCCTTCTATTCAATGATGCATACATGATCAAATAATTCTTGAAATCATATTCTCTCAAAGCTCTTGACTTACACATTAAACGTGTTTCGTGAGACTTTGTTTTTTGGGCCCGTTCGGACTCGTCCAAGCTCGTAATTGAGTTCCGTTTCTTCTTATATGTCGCCAACGAACCCGCCTACACAACTCTGATTTTTCGGTCTATTTTTGGGTTAAATCTATTCCTTACGGGGCTAAATAATTAACAAATCACCTATTAACAAATCCTCCATAGACCATCTATTTATATAACGGGTGATTTGTTAATTATTATAATGGGTGATTTGTTAATTATTTAGCCCGTGAGGAATAGATTTAGCCCGTGAGGAATAGATTTAGCTCAAAAATTGACCGGACAATCATGGTTGTGTAGATGGATTCATTGGCGACATATAGGAAGAAGCAGAAATCATTTTCGAGCTTGGACGAGTTCGAACGGGCCCAAAAAGCAAAGTCGCGCGAAACACGTTTAATTTGTAGGTCAAGAGCTTTGGGAGAATATGATTTCAAGAATAATTGGTCATGTATGCATTATTGAATAGAGGGGTTCGTTAGATACGTATAGAAAAAAACGGAACTCAATTCCGAGTTCAGACGACCCTAAACGAACCCAAAACACAAAACACATATTATATATTAATTTTTTTTTTCATTAATTTTGAAATATTAAACGTATTATCAAAATACATTTTATTTCTTGATTATTTATAAAACGTATTATGATAATGTATTTTATTTTTTAATTATTTATTAAACGTATTATCAAAATACGTTTTATTTATTAATTTTTTTATAAAACGTATTGTTGAAATACGTTTTATACTATTTTTTTAATTATTTAAAAAAATGATATTTTAAAATATAATTTTAAAACGTATTACCATAATACGTTTTTTGAAAAAGAAATTAATTAAAAAAACGTATTNGAATCACATATTTATAATTTCTTTTAATCTGACTTCAGAATAAATAGACCTTTTCCAACAAATAAAAGTTCAAACTTTTCTCACCCATATAATCAGCGTCACCACAGTAACAGTAATTTACTGTTCTTAAACTTTATTAGTCCAAGAAATAATAATGATTCATAGATTTTCAACTTACAATTATTTCACTCACATTTGTTTTTGACCTTTTGCAGTTATAAATCAGTTACGTTTAATAGTCGGTTAGAGGGCTCACCTTGTATATAATAAATGATTAATAGAGAAAGTAATGTGTAAGATAATATAACCTAGTTTTTTTACAGTTGGATTCAACGGTGAATACAAAATTTTTCATGAGCCTGGGTAAAACAATTACTTATCAGTTTAAAAAATAATTCTCCTTATAAAAAAAATACTTATAATATTTTTAATTCTTGTATATATGAGGTGATTTAATCGTTATATGTAGGCCGATTCATTTTGTTTTATTCAATAACAATGCATACTTAACTTTGTTGATTTTTTTATTCAATATTTTTTATGTTGATTTTTATAGTGTGATTCAATCTGCAAGTGTCATATTTATTTAAAAAGTATAACTCTCTAACCATTAGGTCTGCTAGATAATGGCCCTATTGTATGTTTTTTCAGTCTCTAACCTCAATCGGAAATACTTGTAGTTGTCCGTTAAAACGAGTCGCGCTTATATTACAATAGTAAGAACAAAAAAAAAAGATATCTGATTTGATACGATAAAAGTAATAAATAACATTATTTGTAGAAATCATCATTTAATTCAAGAGGAAAAACGGAATGTCTTTTTACTGTTTTTTTTATGATTATAATGAGCATTTAGTTCAATAGAAACTAAATAAATAACTTTATATTTATAAAGAAATCACAATTCAGTTCAAGAGAAAATACGAAATTTTTTGTGGTAATGAGCATTTAATAGTTAATGAGAAGACTAGTAGAAAAAAATTAGTTGATGAGAAGTCCAATAGCAATTTTGATTTTGGCCCATTAAAACAAAGAAAAAGTCCGTGTCTTACTCCATTCAATCTCCATTTAAACAATTTTTCACGGCTTATTATAAATAATTTCTACTAATTATGCTTATCAACAAAATTTCAGCCTAGGCTGGACTATATGTCAATCTGCCCCTGGTTAGATTAACGGTAAAATAGTTCTGTGTTGGTTCAACGGCAAAAGAAAATCAGGCGATTTTAATCGTCAGATAGGTTAAATAGATCCTTATACTATCAAATATTGTAATTCTATTTATATTATTTCTAAAGTGTGATATTTTATAATGAAACTACTTATGATTGTATTTTTGTTAACAAAAATACGTTTATAACGTTTCTCTTAGTTAATATATAAAATAACTGAACTTTTACTAAAATCAAATAAGATGATCACAAAATAAAGCGGAACAATAAAAATCAATAGCCTCAAAACAAGACATGCAATGCATCTAATAATATATAAAACCTAAATCCGGTCAACCTATATATAAAAGGTGATGATCATGATAAACAAAACATATGGAAAATAGTTTAATTACAACTATACTCAGTACCAAAAAAAACTAAGATTAATAAAAAAGTAAACCATTTTCCACACGAGTTATTTCAGTATTCAACCAAATCTAATGCCAATTATTCATTTATTATTTAATTACATATCCCTTTNTGTACATTCATAGATAAAATGGACTAGCAATATTACCACTAGCACAATCCACAATCGACCGGAGATCCTCCCAATCTCCCAGCAACTCATTCATATCGCCACAAATCGAGCCCGGCAATAACAAACCGCCAGATGGTGCTTGAGATGCCAAAATCGTTGACGAGTCAAAAAATTGACCGATTTGAAAATGTCGGTTTGTAGCAACATTGTTTTGGTCATAACTAGCAAAGCTCGGAAAGGGTTTTTGGTCTTCAATTGGCCTTATATTTGGCGAAGTGAAACAAATGTTGTAGCTCGATTGTTCCACGCTACACGTTTTGGACCCGGAATTTGAAATCGGGTTGATTGCGCTCTGTTTAGCGGTCAAATCGCGCCATTCGAGTACACATTTTTTGTGAGAGATGTTCCTCTTGAGTATTCTGCAAAGGGTCCATACTTCCTGCATGTCAATTTTGAAACGAGTAAATTAGTTAAATGATATGTGAATATGTAGGCTGTGTTTGTAAGTATATAAATTAGTTTATAACTTATTTGATTAGCTTACAAACTTCCTGTATTCAAATAAGCTCGGTTTGGTAGGACAAGTTTTTTTTTTTTTTTTTTTTTTATGTAATGAGTTTCAGTAGTTTTTCAAATAAGTCAATGAAATTTTTATTTCAGCTAACTTATCAGTTAATTTTACAAAACACTATTATCATATAAGCTAATTTTTCAATCATAAGTAATAAGCTATCAAATACACGCTCAAAACTCACTTAAAAAGTATAAACTAACTTATCAGCTAAATTTAGCCGTAGTAGAAACTATTAGACAAATTGTTGTGACAATGATAATTGTGTGTGACCTAGTAAAAAATGACAATATTACATGGATAGTATTGCATAATATGGATGGTATAATGGGATTGATGACAATTTTTGTTCATTAAATTTTGCAGACACCAACTAATAAAATCACGAATATTCTATCAAATTGGCGGTTACATTTTTTTTATAATCTCAAAAATTATGAGACAATGTTACATTATATATATAAAACTGTGCGAACTTAATTATTAAGAACCCATATTTCTTTTTCAATTTTTGCAAACATATATTAATTAGATATTTTAGCACTTACAGCTTCTAGAACATTAGGGTTTTTAGTAGCATCATCGGTGCTTTTGCTGTGGTCGGCCGGCGGCAGCCGGAATTCGTGCATCATCCAGTCGGTTTTGGTGCCTTTTCCGGCAGACCCACGATAGTAAACGAGAGATTTCTTGAGGCCGATAATAAAATCACGGCCATCTTTACTGGACGAGTAAACGGGCTTATCGATACCCGTTGCTTTCCAAAAGCCTGAACCCGTGACTCGGTTGGGCCTTATGCTGTTCCTGTATTTTCTCCCTCTTTTGCAGAAGAAGTACCACTCTTTGTCCCCAACGTTGCCTGATTCTATAATTTCAGTAAATTAATTGATTAAGATCCCTATTATGGTTTAGGATCCGTATTATATGTACAAGAAAATCATCACACCAATTTTTTTGGACTAAAATTTATTTACTGTCACATAAATCACACAAGTATATATATAGTGAATTAAAAATCTAGAAAGTCAAAAAAATTGAAAATTTTTGAAAAGTTTTGTTCTTTTCTTTTAAGATATTGTAAGAATATTGTTTTGGCATCTGCCGCTAGACCATATATTCTCAATTTTTGCATAAATCCTTCATCTCATTCTTTTTGTCTATATCTATATAATTTATCCCAATAATAAATGTCACAAACTACATAACAACGAAACACACCAAACCTATCATCCAAAAAAAAAATCTCTAACTATCATATATATGCTCAATTGCTCATCATGAGATTATTTATGTAATCTCATAAAAATGATAAATAAATAAATATTATTCACACAAAACGTTACGTACTTGGAAGATCCCATGGATCGTACTTGTAAATATCAGCCTGCTTAATAAGCTCGATGCTAATCGGCTTCTTCTCGATTTTTCTTTTCAGATAAAACCCGACGAGCTCTTCGTCAGTTGGGTGAAATCGAAAACCGGGAAGCTGAACATGATCATCTTCTCCTTCCTTACAATAATAATCACCAGCACAAGTAATTGTGCTGCTGCTATTATTCTCAACTTCCATACTTTTAATTTAATAATAATAATTAAAGGGAAAAAAATAAAGTTTCTACTTGTATGCAAATGAGAATAATAATAAAATTTTTAAGCTGCACACACATATATATGCACACACGAAAAGATCTGTAGTTTATTGGGTCAAGTCAACACTGTTGACTTGTATGGTTTTTTTTATAATTTTATGTCGCACTAATATTTTTCTTTCGGGTGGGTCCCACGGGGTTCTTTGTAGTTTTGAATTTATGAAGAGAGAATATGGAAGCGGTCTTACCCTATTTAATAGGTTTCATTTTGTTTTGGATTTTTTCAAGAGAGGATCAAATCAAAGGAAATTTTTTGGTGTTTTTGTTTTCTTGAGTGTATTCTTCAATTTCAACAGGTTGCTGACGTGGCATTGTGTCACCACTTACGGTAAATTCGGTTTATCCACGTGTGGGATCACCAAACGTGACACACCTATACATATGTGTGTGTGTGTGAGTATAAGGTGCAAAAAAAAAGAAAAAAAAAAAGATTTTGGTTCACTATAAATTTGGCCCAAGAATAAAGAATTTTTAAATAATTATGAAAAAAGAAGCCAATGTCCTTTTGGCATTATAAATATTTCGTATATTCGATGTATATAGTTCAAAACCCACGATTAATAGTATATGTTTCTTGCTATATTTATATTGTTGGTAAAAATGAAAAATGCTATATATAAAAGTAATCTGTAAAAAAACTTGATTGACTAATGATTAGACGATCTAACAGGAGCATTTGAGCATTTGTATTTTGAAGTAATCTAACTTACAAAACAATATAATCTTACCACATATCTATTTGTTAGAGCTTATATTAATGTCGTGCATTTAAGGTCGCATCACTATCATACAAACAAATAGGCATTGTCTAGAGTGAATGGATCAAGTCAACTATTTTTACCTATAGAAAAACAAAAAATAATATTTGGACGGGATTTATTTCATGCATTGTTGGTGTAACACCTATATAATTGGTCACATTTTTTGCAAATTTTCCTTAAAAGATAATTTGCCAATTATATATGACACAATATATCAAGTCAGTAGTAATATTAATTTATTTTAATTTTTTATTTTTTCTAATTTATGTTTATAGGTCTTCACTATAATATATAAATCTAAAATTTATATGTGTATAATATTAGCAATATCTAATGTTTTAAATATGATGTTTGTGTACAAATTACTTACATGTACTTATAGAAATAACGATTATCTTAATCTTATAACTTTATCAAACAATTCATATCTTGCATAATCTATCTAACTAATTTTAAGCCAACAAAAATTTATGTTCCTTTAGCATATATTCATTAGTGATAAACTGACATAAACATACTATTGATTGATTACATATATTTTCAATAAGATCTATTATTAATTTCATAATAATTTTCATCTATATATCAGTATATGAATGTTCATATATAAAAACTTGCTAATAGGTAAAAGTTAATTAAATGCTAAATATAGATGAAAATATTTTTTCGCCGGAAACTATATCAATTGTAATAACAAGATTGATCCATAATATAAATATAAATATTATACATAAATTATTTATAAACAATTTATAAATCAAAAAACAGTAAAATTAAAAACCAATAACAAAAATAAACTTTAAAAACCAATAACAAAAATAAACCAGACCTACCATTTATAAACACGTAGTTTAATAATTGTTATCTAATTTCATACAGTCAAAATATATTTGCCAATTTCATACAGTAAAAGACATGTGGTGGGATCTACACATTGAAATTTCGTACTGAAATAGGACTATGAATTAAGCATCACTGATAGTCAAACTCCAATTGTCCTAAATCAAACATTTATGTCTTCTAAGAAATATTTGATAATTGAATTATCGCTCGATTATCTGCTACTTAACCTAATAATTGAACCCTAAATAAGGATTCGAATCCTATTAGGAATTCCAATTTGGCTCAGCTATTGGAAATATTGAGCAAGGAGACGGAGTCAAAATCACGGTGATCGATGTAGACTCCAAAACAGAAAACTTGACTTATGTTTAAACTAAGTACCATTAACATTTATTAACAATTAATTAAAATACATTTAATGTCAAAATCGAATTACGTTTCTATTGGTAGTTAGAAGAACGCCCATCAACTAGCTATGGCCATATCATCGTAGGCCCATGATGGCCCAACTGCCCTCTGGCCATTATTTAGGGGTGCTGAAAATATAATATTATACTATTTTCTTTTTAGAAAATGTAGATATATTATATTAATAAAAGAAAAATTACAAACAAGGTTATCATTAAGGGCGTGCTTGAATACAAATATATCAGCGGAAAACGAGTTTTTTTTGTTGAAAAAGGTGGTTGGTAAATTATTAGTGAGATTTTGAGTTTATATTAAAATAATATTTAAAATAAAATAATTAAAATTAATTTGATGTAAAAATAGGAATGAGATGATATAAAGTGATTGTTAATTATAATTATATTAATGGATGGATAGTAAATTAAAATGATGTGATGTGTAAATTGATTGACTGATATTATTGTATTGATAACATTGAAAATAGTAGGGTTGAATTAGATTTTCAATATAAATTAAGTATGAACTGAGTTTTTTAATAAACAAACATACTCTAAATTACCTGAATTAAGCAATTAAACTAGATAAGTCTGGGAGTACATACAAATACAGACCGTCTAGATTTAGAACTAAAGACAAATATTAGATAACAAAACAAAACTCAAAACAAGTGTTTGGATACAAATATATCTGCTAAAAACAAGTTTTCTTAGTTAACCATAGTTAATGTTGAAAAAAATGGTATGGTTAGCTCTTAGTGAAAGTTTGAGTTTATATTAAAATAATATTTAAAATAAAATAATTAAAATTGATTTAATGTAAAAGCAGAATATAGATGACGTGAAGTGATGTTAGTTAAAAATTATGTAAGTAGATGAATAGTGAATTAAAATTGATGTGATGTGTAAGAATGATGATTTAAATTAATAATTATATTGATAATATTGAAAATAGTAAATAATGTTAAAATTGAGTTATATTTTAAATACGAATTGAGTATGAATTGAGTTTTTTAATAACCAAACACACCCTCAACACTTCTAAATGGGAGAATAACACTTCATCAAAAGTGACTAACTATCACAAACCACTTCAAGGTGAACCAAAACACATACACACTAAAAAAATATACTACTAATAATAATAATAATCACAATAATAATTAATAATAATAATTAATAATAATAATAATAATAATAATACTTTATTTGTTTTTTTTTTTATAATTTCTTATATTTAGATTATTTCTGTGTATATTTTAAATATTTTTTTGTACAATTTAACTGTATAATAATCTAAAACGATAAATAGTTACAAACAAAAAAAATCAAATTAAAANAGGAGTACTTTTGAAGCCGCATTTGGTGAATAGGTTTAGAAGTGGAAATAAATTAAATTTTTGATGATGCAAGGAGGAGAAACCATATTGATTTTGGAGAATAAAATATATAAAATATAATATTAGAAAATTATTATGTGAAATCAAAAAATAATATTTATGCAATCCACATTACTACACTAAGATTTATTGTTACATTTTTTACTGCACAACCGTGCCTCTATGTTTCAAATAATTTTGTTACAAAAGATTGATTCTAGAAAATATATATTATGTTCACACTATCATCCTTGTTAGTCATCAACAAATGCGGCTCTATTTGTTTCATGTTTTTGCCAACTTCGACATATTCAAAGTCATGTTTGTTGTGGTCGTTTGGTCTAATTTGGCTCATTCTTTATATCCGCTGGTGACATTTAACGTCCAACATATTTGATTCATATTTTGTTGCAAGTTGTTTAATTGGATTCCATCAAATGTAATATAATTCAACAGAATTCCCACCTATGTTCCAATGTTATAACTATCGTAGTAAAAATTGAAAAAAAAAAATCGTGGGCATTAATTTACTTTTTTTCTTTTAGATTTTGATGTTTCAAATTAAATGACAGGTCTTTCCAGTAATTATAAACTAACATATCAACAAAATAAATATTTCCAACAGAACTTGCATATTACTATGAAATTTACTAAGACAATAAGCGGTTAAGTATGACAGTAAAATTATTAAATTTCAATTAAAGTTTCATGAAAAAATTAATTCTAATGCATTAGTTGCTTTCCAACATAATATCCTTTTTAAGATTTCCATGTAAGTTATAAGTAATGCTAAGGAGCTATCCGATGGCTCCGTTATGGAATCATCCTGTTTGTAAAACGTATTCCGAGAATACGTTTTACATTGTAATTTTTTGTAAAACGTATTATCGAAATACGTTTTACAATGTGAAACGTATTCCAAGATACGTTTTACAAACAGGATAGCTTCATAACGGAGCCATGGAATGACTCCTTAGCATTACCATGTAAGTTATACCATTGAATTACCAATGCATTCGTCGAAATATGAAAATTTATTGGTGTGATAATGATTCCTTGACTATTTATTATTAAATGCCCTTAGACAGAAAAATAGAATTATTAATAATATATATTTTATCTAATATTATTCTCTTTCAAATGACCCTAACTTGTACATCCCCTTATAAATTAATACACAATGTCCCAAACTACGTGTCGACTTCTTACTTTTAAAATTTTAAAACACTTGAATAACTTAAATTATAAATATATTTAAAAATTAATAATATTTGTATTTGTATTATTTTTATATATACAATATATCAAATTAATAATCTTTTGACGAAATTTGATATGATATCCATATTGCATATGTATAATAAACAAATAATTTTATTTTTATTTATTATAAAATTAGATCATCTATGAGTACTAATTAAAAATTAATAAATTTATATATCAGTTAAAAAAGTAGCCATAATACCCCTCCTTAAAAAATGACGTAACATTTAGGGCGTTAAGAGATAATCGTACAGGTGAAAAAATACATTTT